GGTTCAGAAGTGTGCAAAACAAGCACTGTATCATAGGGGAGTATAGTAAACAGAGAGCACAGGCATTACCAACACAACGCTCAGAATCATGGTTACCCCAGGGTGGGGGGAGGGTGGTTTCTTAATCCGGGTGTTCGGTTCCCTGGCGTTTGCTTTCTTGATGTTCTGTGCGACATGAACCAGTTTATCACTAGAATAATTTTTTTTCGGCTTTTGTTTTAGAGATGGGGTCTTGCTCTGTCGCCTAGGCAGGAGTGCAGTGGTGTGATCATAGCTCACTGAAACTTCAAACTCCTGGGCTCAAGCCATCCTCCCATCTCAGCCTCCACAGTAGCTGGGACTACAGGTGCACACTACCATGCCTGGCCAATTTTTTTCATTTTTTAAAAAAGGTGAGCTCTCACTGTGTTGCCCAAGGTAATGTTGAACTCCTGGCCTCAAGTGATCTGAATAGCTGGGACTACAGGCACAAGCCATCTTGCCTGGCAAGAATGACATTTTTAAGTGCTTTAGGGTAAGTGACAGCTAGCCCTGCACAGAGCTCTCCTGACTCAGTTTCCCCTGTGTATCGAATTTCCCTCTTTGTCTGGCTCCTGGGGCAAGTACATGAGGAGATGTCAGCAGCTGAAGATGGGGTATTTCCATGGAGTCAACTGGGAAGCGAGATGTGGGGGAGGGATTCAGATGCCGACAGTCTACAGGCAGTCCCTTCCTCTCCAACCCCACTCAGAGCCTTCTCGCTGTCTCCCAGCCTCAGCTGAGCCTCCCCTCACACTTTCCGTTAAGTGCTCTCTGATCAAACACAAGTCTGCCCAGGTCCCTCCACTGCTCTAAGCCCTTTGTGGGCTCCCCACTGCCCTCAGGTTAAACTTGAGGCTTTTTTGACACATGTGAGGCCCTCTGGACTTCAGCTCCACCCTTGTCCCTACAACACCAGTGGTTCTAGACACCCGTCTTGTGCACTGCTGACTTCTTGAGCCCCAGAACAGTGCCTGGCACACTTGTTAACAGTGTACACAAGTGAGCCCATCCTCCCTAGACCTCCTACTGCTGCCCCCGGGAGCCAATATGCAGGCAAACTGGTGGTCCCAGCTTCAATGCAACTTCCCCCCCTATAAATGTGGGAGTTGAGAAACTCAATCTCTGAACTCTATGTCCTTGAGGTTCCCCACACTCTGTGCTGGTCCCATCCCAAATGGAAGGAAGTAGCAGTCCACAGATACCCAGCATCCTTTGTATTCCAGCCTGCAAGCACTGGGTTTCCTGGACAGTCCTTGTTTCACTGGACCTTAGTGTTTGCCCCTGGAAAATGGGTGTAAATATCCTTGTGGGAAGACTGTCCTGGTGCAGAAGGTGGGAGGACATGCAGGGACAGAAGGCCTGGCTCTCCTCTGCCAGGTGCTTGAAACTGGCCCTGTGGGAGAGGGCTTGGATAAGAAAACTGTGGTCCAGAGAGGGTAGGGGACTGGCCTAAGCTCACCTGGCAAGTCAGTGATGGAGTTGTTGCTGGGAGACAGAGCTAATGACATGCAGTGATCTCTTAGCAGAAACAGCCGGAAAGCTGCGAGCACAATGCTGTCCAGGGGCTCCAGGGCATCTCAGGCTTGGTTCCAACATGGAAGGCCTGGAGCAGGCGGAAGTGGGCGGGGCACATGGTCCAGGTACAGTGCAGAGCCCCGCATCACAGAGCCAGCGTCACACAGAACAGACATCGCGGAGCATCCAGCCCACTCCTCCTCCTAGAGAAGGGGGAACCGAGGCTTGGGAGGCACTAGTTTAGGAGGTAAGGCACACTCTTGGGCTCAAAGGTGTTCTGCTCGAATCCTGGCTCACCCACTTGCTTGCTGTGTGACCTCGGACAAGTGACTTAACCTCTGTGAGCCTCAGTTTCCTACTCTATAAAACGGGGACAGAGGGTTCCTCGAAGGGCTTCGGTAAGGACTCAGTGAGACAATCCATGTAAAACCCTAACACTGTGCTGGGTACAGACATGTCCTTTATTGGTAATACTTGTAGTCATTTTTCAATGGGCCCTGATTTCTTACTGTCCTTTCAGGACAAGACCCCATAGTCCAGTGAAGTCACTAGACATTTGGGGATCCTGGTTCTGTTGAACTGTAAGTGCTCCAGGGGCACAGTGTCTCTCGCTGGACCCGGAGGACATGGGTCCTCAGGGAGGCTCTGGCCTCTGGGTCTCTTCCTGTCAGGACCCTGTTCCAGCTCTGGCCTTCTCACTCCCTCCTGTTTGTCCTGTCCTGCGCAAGCATGTCCAGCCCTGGTGTGGGAGCAAAGAGATCCTCCCTTAAGTAACACCAGCACCTTGTCTTTGCCCTGCTAGGAGGATGTTAGCAAAGCTATCGAGTCTTGGCCGGTCTGCACAGAAGGTGCGAACACACCCCATCTAGATAGAGGCTTTGTTTTTTTCTTGGAAAGATCAACTGAAGCTGCCAGCCCAGAGGATCAGGGGGCATAGACACAGGCCATGGTCAAAGCGCAGCGTTAAGTGTCTCAGCAACTTCCCTGGTGAGCAAGTGGGCCCTACAGTGCACCCTGTGTTCACCCCTGGATCCCCAGCAGCAGCTCTCTGTACGCAAGCTTCCTTCTGCAGGGAGCTAGTTAATCTGGCTTCCTGGGGGCAAAGACAGACCTGCAGCTTCTTGGGGTGCAAGCTGAAACCCCCTTCCTCTCTGAACCCAAACTGGGCTGGACTGGTCCTGCAGTGCACAGTGCCCCGGTAGGGAGGATGCCCCCTCCCCGCAGGAGCTGGCTCACTTGGGCAGAGCCCGGAGGACCTTCAGTACCCTGTGGTTTAACCCTGGAAGTGTGCTCCAGCTCAGCCTCTTGCACCTTCCTCTCCCCCACCATCGATCTGGACAGGGGGAGATGGGTGGGCCCCCTGCTGGACCTGGACTTCTCTGCGCCCTTCTCCACTGATGGGCAGAGTGAGCCTCTTAAAAGGTAAACCAGGCCACGTTCCTTCCCGGCTAAAGCCCTCATGGTTTCCCCAGCTACCTCAGAATCAGACATGATCTGGCCCCTCTGACCTCTGACCTCATCTCTCATCCCTCTTCCCTAGCCCACCCCCAGCCCCCTGGTCTTCCTTGAACAGGCCAACCCTAGGGCCTTTGCATTAGCCGTTCCCTCCCCCTGGAATGCCCTCCCCTTATCTTTGTCCTTGTCGCTCTGATCTGGGCTTAGACGCGCCTCCTGAGTCCCTCCCTGACCACTGGATCTAAGGGATCTAAAGTAACTGATTACCGCTTTCTGTGCCAGCGGCTTGTCTTCACTCCCTGCACAGCACCCGGGCTCGGTTACCTAGTCTGTTTATTATCTTCTCCCTCCTCCTCCCCGGGATGCCAAGTCCCCCCAGAGGGCTGCGGCGCGATCCCGCGGGCTGGAGCGGGGTGGGGCTGGAGCTGGAGTGGCGGCGAGCGGGCGCGGGCCGCCCCGCGGCGGGACGAATGAATGGCTGAGCGACCGTAAACGGGGACGGCAGCCGCTGCGCGGGCGCGCGCTCCCAGCGTGGGCCGCTCCCGGTCGCGTGCGAGGGTTTGATCTTTTTGCCGGTCCTGGGGGAGGGAAACCCGCCTCGGCCGGCTGGCAGCCGACGCTCCGTAAATGCGCTTTGGGGACCGGAGGATAACGAGACACATTTACGGGCTGTGGGAAGAGCCGCGTGCCCAGCGAGGCTACCGACGCGGAGGGAGTTCTGCGGCCGGCTCTGCGCCCCGGGACCTCGGCGTTGGGGCCCCCATGGGAGACCTTCCCCATCCTTCCCAGTGGTTTCCCTCGCGAGTCCCAGATTCTCCCCGGAATTCCAGGGACTCAGCGGCCGAGTGGGCGGAGAAGCAGGGCTTGGAGCGCCGCTCCGGGCAGGGGCCAGTTCCCAGCGCCCTCGCCCTGTCGGGGCAGCGAAGGGCGCAGGGATAGAGCTCTGGGACAAAGCTGGCAAGGCCCGGCCTCCCGGGGCTCAGACTCCAGATCTGCAGTCCCGGGCTGGGAGTGGAAACGCAGCCCCTCCGCGCGCTCCAGCAGTGGACCTGGGTGGGGATGGGCGGAGGAGCCCGGGGGTAGGGAAGGGACAAAGAGCAGCCCTGCTGCGGGGAGAGAGCGACCTCCGTGTCACAGTCCTATTGTTCGTCGTATCTCAGACCACGCTGAACTCTGGTGCCCCCGGGAGGGAGAAGGGGAGCCGTCGCCCAGATCGTGGGTATTTGTTTATTGGGGGTGAGGGAGGGAGGGAGTGAGGGCGGGGGACACGGGCCCGGGAGGGGCCTAGGCGCCCATTTGCTCGCGTCGCCTTTAAGGGAAGCCCTGCCCTACCTTTCCCACCGTGCCCCTCCGCCCCGCAGCCGTACCTGCATTTTAAAAGCGCCCTGTAGCCCTGGGATTGGCCAAGGCCGCGTCCTCCGGGCGCAGAAACTTGAACCGCGGAGAGAGGGGGTTGGAAACCCAGCGGCTGGACTGTACCATCTCCACGGCTTCCCCGCGTGCGCCCCACCCCTCCCACACACCCCCAAAGAGGCCCAATCAGACGGGCAGGAGGGCGGGACTGCGGCCCGAACGCGCCTCTGGCGGGGCGCCGGGCGGGCGGGCGCACCGCGCCGGGGGACGTCGGGGCCGCCGAGCCCCGCTCGCCCCACGTCTCCCCGGGAGGCGGGGCCGGGCCGCAGCGCCCCGCCCTCTCCCCGCCCGGGGTGGGCGGGGCGGCGGGGCTCCGGGAGCTGAGCCGGGGGCCGGCCTCCGCCTGCCTCGCCGGAGCCCGAGAGTGCCCGGCAGCGCGGTCCCGGCTCGGCGGTCGTCTCCGCTAGCTGAGCCCCGAGGCGCGCGAGCTCCCGGGAAGCCCGGGCGGGCGCTGCGCGAGGCGCGAGGCGGCGCGGGGCGGGCCGCACGCGCCCCCGGCCTCTCCCCGCCCGCGCGCGGACCGGCCCAGCGTAGCCCCCGCGCGGGGAGCGCGGGCCGGGCGAGGGCGAGGGCGATGCCGCGGTGACGGCCCCGCCATGGCGAAGCCCGCGGCGGCGGCGGCGGCGGCGGCGGCGTCGGAGGAGCTGAGCCAGGTGCCGGACGAGGAGCTGCTGCGCTGGAGCAAGGAGGAGCTGGCGCGGCGGCTGCGGCGCGCCGAGGGCGAGAAGGTGGGCCTCATGCTGGAGCACGGCGGCCTGATGCGCGACGTGAACCGGCGGCTGCAGCAGCACCTGCTGGAGATCCGCGGTCTCAAGGACGTGAACCAGCGGCTGCAGGACGACAACCAGGAGCTGCGCGAGCTCTGCTGCTTCCTCGACGACGACCGGCAGAAGGGGCGCAAGCTGGCGCGCGAGTGGCAGCGCTTCGGGCGCCACGCGGCCGGCGCCGTGTGGCACGAGGTGGCCCGCTCCCAGCAGAAGCTGCGCGAGCTCGAGGCGCGCCAGGAGGCCCTGATGCGCGAGAACCTGGAGCTCAAGGAGCTGGTGCTGCTGCTGGACGAGGAGCGCGCGGCGCTGGCGGCGGCGGGGGCCGCGGGGGGCGGCGGCGGCGCGGGCTCCCGCAGCTCCATCGACAGCCAGGCCAGCCTGAGCGGGCCGCTGGCCGGGGGCTCGGCGGGCGCCGGGGCCCGCGACGTGGGCGATGGCAGCAGCACGTCGAGCGCGGGCAGCGGCGGCAGCCCCGACCACCACCACCACGTCCCGCCCCCGCTGCTGCCTCCTGGGCCGCACAAGGCCCCCGACTGCAAGGCGGGAGCCACGCACCGGTCCCTGGACGACCTGTCGGCGCCACCGCACCACCGCAGCATCCCCAATGGCCTGCACGGTAAGGACCGCGCCGGCCGGGCAGCGCGGGTCTGCTGGGTCGGAGCCCCTAACTTCAGCTGGTCGCCGGGGGTCCTCCCTGGCCACCCCTCTGGTGCCTGGCGCGGCGGCTTCTCCAAACCCCTCCTCCAGCTGACCTCTGGGCCGGGGGATCTCGCGCCCGCCCGCAGTGGGGCTCTGGGTGGCGGCGACCTGGTCAAGTGATAGTGCCTGACCCTGTCCAGCTCGGAATCTGCAGCCGGCCCGCCCCTGAAAAAGTTTGTCGCTTGCCTAGTTGTCAGTATTAGCGTGTGGCTCCTCGGGGCTGGCTGGGGGTGCCTCATCCCGGTCTGGAAATCTACGCCTGGCAGTGGGAAGCTCTACACGGAAAAAAATGAAAGGCCGCTTGAGCCCTAGAGAATCCCCCCCCCTTGTTTCCAGCGGGGAGCAACAGGCGTCCCCCAAACCCAGGCAGCGTCCGCGTGTGTGCGGTGGCTGGAATTCCGCCCCTGCTTCCCGGGGTGGCGTTGGGGATTGGGAAGGAGCCCAGCGGCCCGTTCCTGAGGCAGAGGACCCGGGGCTGGGCGCTTCCTGGTTGGCTGCAAGTTCTGCACTTCTGGTCGGGTTACCTTTCCCAGCTGAGGCTCTGATACTTTCCCGAGGGACATGTGGGTGGAATGGAGCCGGGCTTTTCTCCTCTGTGTGCCTCAGTTTCCTTGTCTGTAAAATGGAGATTACCAAGACTGCTTTATGCGTTTGAGGTGGAGATAAGGCCTCTGAAGGGATTTGGAAGCCGCTGATCGCCTTACAGGAAGTGCAGTGGTCACCCGAGGCCGGGCATGGGCGGGAGGGCCTTTGGCCTGGGGGAAAACTCGGGACCGTCTTCCACACCTGTGCTACTGCCCGGCCTGTGCCTGTGTGTAGGGTGCCCAGCTGGGATCCGCGGGCCCCAGCAGCCTGCTACCTGTCCCAGCCCTCCGATGAGTCCGCTCCTGCCTGGTGCTTGCCTGCCTCCCGGTTCTTCCACATTTTTGGTGGCTTGGCTCCCAGTTCTGGTGGCAATTTCGACTGCCTGGACTGTTTGCCTGAAGAGTGAGAATAAACAGCCCTTTCTGGTTCCCTTTAAAGCCTTTCCTAATGTAGAGAAAATGTATCCAAGGCCTTAAATAGCTGCTCTTCCCCGGAGTGACAGCAGGAGCTGGGGAGGGAGGCTTTCTCTTCGGTTTGGTGGCCAAGTGACCTCTGCAGGCGTGTTGGAGTGGGGGCTGGGCTGGGAACTATACCGCGGCGGGGAGGGGTGGCAGTGCAGCCTTTATTTACCATCCTGGCCTGTGAGTTCAGGGCAGGACTGGGTTTAGAGGGATATTTTGTTACTGATTAGCAATCTACAACTGCAACTCAGGTTTCTCTTTGTAACTCTGTACCTACTGCACCTCCCACCGTGGGCTCCTTAAGGCCGGTGGGAGTAGCTAAGTTAGGTGGTTTAATTTGTTGGAGATGCACCCTGCTGTTTAGAGCACCTCAGCCTCTTCGGCCTCACCAAAGGGGCTTGTTGGGGGCTTTTGGAGGGTCAGTTTTCTGGGCCTCAGTTTCCCCAAGTGCGGTGCTAAGGGAGTGGATTGCTGCAGTCCTGTGGCTGGGAAATGAAATGTTTCAGGTTTTCAGCTGCGTCACCAGTGACACTTGGCAAGAGTGGGTCTCTGCAGGACACTGGAGGGCTGGAGTGTTGTAGCATATTTGCAGGGAAGTGTCTGTCATGTTTTGGACAAGATGTGGCCCCAGACTGGCCCAGTGTTTGCGTCCCAACAGTGAATAATGAGGAGGGAGGGTGAGCTAGACCTGGAGGTTTTCCACCCTACTTGGTGGGGTGGGAGTGGGGGTTGAGGTGTAGGGCTTCCTGCAGAATCCGTGCTCCCCCAAGCCCCAAGTTCACTTAGAACAGGACTGCTGCAAATTTTGTGACAGCAAAGCTTTGCTTTGGGGTGAAACGGAAATTCAGCATTATTATTACGAATTTCAGTTACAGATGGGGTTGTTCTTGTTTAGTTTTGTCTCAAAGTCTTGTGCAGCCTTAAGGTGTCCTCCCACCAATGTGAACAGAATGACTGGGAACAAGGAAAGACCCTCCTCTTAGAAACTGGGCTTTTCTCACAGGAATCCTGGAGAAGCAGTGGTATGCCCATTTTACAGACAAGCAAGTAGAGGCTCAGAGAGCTTCCTCCCCTTGCCTGGGAAGGCAGCTGACATTGGAAGTGTCTGTCCTGGGTGGCAGTGTCTGTCCTGGGTGGCCAGGACAGGGTCATCTGCTGCTCAGGCCACAGGCTGGCTTGCGTCCCTGGCCTGCTGTCACTTTTGCTGTTACTATTAATCAGAGGACACTGGTGACTCCTGATTCCTGGTGCCTGACCCAGGTTTGCTCTCTTTCTCCCACGCTGGGAAGTGTCAGTTCCTTATCGGTGACCACTGAGCAGATGGTTGATAACTCCATTACCCAGAGGGTCAGGCTGTCTTGAGTGTGAATCTCAGCTCCTCCGCTAACCTTGGGCAAATCGCTAAACTTTGCTGAGCTCCTCTCTGCCCTTCTTCTGTAAGGTGGGGAGAAGGCAAAGTGCCCTGTTACCCACACAACTCTGGGGAGGTCAGGGTCAGCACGCAGTAGGTGGGTCTCTCCAGTTCAGAGTCCTTGGGGGCTTGCCAAACAGACTTCGGTTTTCTCTTACAACGCTTCGGTGTTTAGACAGCTCACCCGAATGTTTGTGTTGGATTCCCCTGTGTGGCTGCACCTGCTGATGGTGGGGACGGTGGCCCTGCAGTCCTCTCTGGGGAGCTGGTGGCGCCTGCCCGCAGCCCCGCCGCTGGGTGCCCTGGAAGGCCCCGAGTGGCCGAGGTGGGAGGTGGCCCATCTGCATTCAGGGCAGTCCCTGCCTGGCGGGGCTGTGAATGCCTATGCAAATGGTTCCGCTCCTGGGTGCGTCAGATCGAGCTCTGGGCTGGGCTGGCTGGAGTCTGGACTGGGGTGCTCTTCGCTCCAATCTAGTGTGGCACTCTGAGGCAGGGGAACCCCAAACACCAGAAAGTCAGGTTTGATTTTCAGACAGAAGAGTTTTCAGCTCTGTCTCCACCTGCCTGTCTGCCATCCCCATCCCGGGTGCCCCGCTGCAGCCCCCTGTCCCCAGGCGGTGTCTTCCCCTCCCCCCCTTAGCTAAACCAGAGAAACCAGAACCTCCCTGCAAGCCCGTGAATGGGCCCCATTTACTTTGTAAAGTTTGGATTAAAATTTTGAGCTTCTCAAAATGAGCCGGGGTTTGTTCTCCTGCTTGTGTTTTTGTTGGTTTAAAAGGGAGGATGGAGCGGGTGGTCTGGGCCTTTAAAAAAGCAGTTTGCCCTGAATAGGTCTTTTCTGTGCAGCCTAGGGACTCAGCTAATAAGGCCGCTTTTCCTAAACCCTGGCAGGCTGGGAGCAAAGGTCAGGGAAGACAATGGGCTGGGTGAGATAAGCCTTTCCCCTCCCTTCTCTGCCTGTCCCTAGTGATCCGTCAATGGCCTTGGAGTGTTGGGTGCCCTGGGCCTCACACTCAAGGAGGGCTGGCCCCGAGGAGCACCAGTAGGCAGGAATGTGAGATGTGCCCAGCACTTCACAGTTTACCGCACAGAATTTCCCGATCCTAACCCCTTTCCCTGCAGAGCTTCCAGATGGCCCCAGGAGGGAGGCCTTAGCATCTCTGCTTTGTAGAAGGGGAAACTGAGGCTTGGAGAGGTGTGGTGGCTTGCTCCGGGTCCTATGGGGCTTGTTGGGGGGGCCCTGGGTCTCCTGTGTTAGACGACCAAGCCCGTGGCCTTGTGCCTGGTACTCAGAGAGTTCCAGGGGTGGCCTGTGCTGCAAAGTTGGGGCACCTCCTCCCCAAAAGCTAGACCCTGAGCCTGGTTGCTGCTGCCCTGTTTCCTGGTAGCAAAAAGTGGCGCAGCACCGGCTGCCTTGTGGGTGAGGGGTGTCCTTCCTCTCTTCTCTCACTGGGATGGCTCCAGCGGCTTCCCCCTGTGGCAGGTGCCCCGCCAGACCCCTCCCCCGAGCCTGGCCTCTGCACTCCTAGGACAGGCACTTGGTTGACCAGCACGATACAAAAGGAAATCAGTGGTTGTGCATAGTCTCTTCCACCCGTGGCGATTTTCCATACCACACTTGCACAGACAATTGAAAGTCTACAGCCCAAGCAAGAGTGAGACCCTGTCTGTACAAAAAATAGAAAAATGAGCTAGACATGGTGACACATACCTGTAGTCCCAGCTACTTGGGAGGCTGAGGTGGAAGGATCGCTCGAACCCAGGAGTTTGAGGTTGCTGTGAGCTGTGATGACCGCACTGCACTCTAGTGCTGGTTCCTGAACCTCCGTGGGCCTCTGTTTTCTCATCTGCAAAGTGGGAAACATTACTAACCTCCAGGTGGGGGGACGAGGAGGCGTAATGGGATGCATAAACTCAGCTGCCTAGCTGTCTCCTGCAGTACTCCACCCTGGGCATGCTTATTTGGGTGCAGCCTGCTGGTGGTTAGTGCTCTGGCTTCAGGGTACAAGCCCTGAGTGAATCTTGCCTTGCTACCTGCTCTCTGACCATGAGAGTGTACCGAACCTCTAAGCCTCAGTTTCTGCATCTGTATCCTGAATATAGTAGTACCCTGGTCCTAGAGTTGGGCCTTAAAGGACAGGTTCTGTGACCTTTCACTATTTTCTGGATCTCCCACGGATTTGCCTCCTTGGGCTGGAGGTGGGGGTTGGGGACTCCCTGACACACACCTGTGCCCAGCCCTGTGTCAGAGCCAGCTGAGTCCTTGTCTAGTTGAATGGAGGGAAGGCTGCATTCCAGGAAGGAATAAGCAGGACGGCTAAGCTGGAAGCGGGTCTGGACCACAGTTCCGAGAGCCCAGGGCCTGGGAGGCACACTCAGGATGTGTGTGGGGAAATAGCCCCTGGGGGGTTAGCACCGTTCCTGGGAGCCTTGCAGTCAGGGGAGGCTTGCGAGCCCTGC